TGTCTTGTCCGGTCCAATTTGCGCGAAGGTCAGGAACCTTTCGAACGTAAAACCTTCGGGAAGGACAGGTGGAGGTGATAATCTTGAGGGCGTTACCACCGGTCGAGATTCGTTGGCAGCACCACCACCTGGTTGACCGTAGTAATTGTGATGTATGACGGTACCGGTGCCAGTGCCACTGTCGACAGCCACAGAGGCTCCAGGGGGGGGAGGCAACCCCAAGAGCTTGTTTTTCTCTGCCTCGTAGTCTCTGGCCTGAATCCAGCGGAAGACACCGCGTCGTTTCATAGGCGGGTTCACTTCATCAACCCCAGGAACACCATCGGCCTGTGAGGAAATCAGAAACATGAACACTATGAGTCAGCCGGAAGATACAGAAAAAGGAATAGGCAAAATTTAACTTACCCAATCGTCAGCCCATGTGCGTATGCGCGAGGTATTGAGCAGCAGGACTTGGTTTGAGTCTAATGGATTCTTAACGCAGGTGACATTTTCACCCGCCTTGAAATCCTTCGCAAAACGTGCCATTAATGTGCGAAATTTGCGTTCACCCCCACTAACACTACGCCAGATTGCAAATTTACCGCTGAGTTTAGAAAATTAATAAGACATAGAAAATTATACACAAGGTGGAAGGGGTCAAAAAAATGTGGAAAAATAAGGGTTGCATTCCCCTGTGTGTGCCCATAATTTTGCATATTTTTACAGATTTTTACAGCAGCAGTGTATATCAGGTCAGAAACTCAGTTTATGTCCCAAACTGGCAGTCATGGAGGCATTAATCTTGTGATACCAATAAAGTTGTCAATTTTGTGACAACATCTGGAATGTCTGTCCATTCTGAAAGCTACATGTTTAATTTACCAGATACACATTAGAATGAGTGGTGTGTGTCCAAAAATGAAGAAGGTACAGCAATCACCGTCCCCAACAGCAAAGCTAGAAAAGCTTATAAATCTGTTCTGCAAGGGTTTTAGCATCCAAATGGAAACTGTAGATCCAGTATGTGGGTTTCATAATGTGCAACTGCCAAATTGATAAAAAGAAAATAGTTGTATTTGTGAGTGTTGAAAAGTTTCTGCCCAAGCCTGGGTAGTTTTGGACAAAATTTGAGTTTCTGACCAAATACACCCCAAAATCATTTTTCTATGGAACGACTTCAAAACTCAAGGTAAAAATATGAAAAAATATGCAAAATGATGGGAAATCACAGACTGATTCAACCATAATTTTTTCAATTTTTTCCTACCTCTCATGCATTGCTGAGAATTTCCTACATCTTGACTTTTCTAAACTCCATGGTAAATTATTGATTTGGTGTAGTGTAAGTATAGCAGACTGACAAATGTGAGTGTCAGTATGAATACTTAAAATATGAGACGAGATATCAAAAGTACTAACTCCGGCAGAAGCCACAGAGGCCTCACCATCGGATTCTTCAGAGTTACCGGCCTCTGCAGGAGCAGAAGCTTTGAGCGCACTTGCAAGCGAACGGCGTGCGTTCTCGGTCTTGGACGGGTTCTCGTGGATGATACGGAAACCCATGGTTGAACTGGCGGGTGCCATCAAGGCGGTGTTGATAAAAGTTCGGAATAATTCTGGCGTTTTGATCGGTTGTTTATCCTTACCCTTATACCCCTTTGAACAGTTGATAAAACCCTGGATCGCAAGGTCTCAAGCAACCCAGGTGCACTCGAGAACTTCAGAAACACCGGGGAGATCTTCGTTGCAGGTGTCAAACATCTGGTGTCTGAAAGAAGTGAAAGAGATTTCTTTTGGTCGCAAGGTGAGTTGATTAGGCAATTTCGGATTGAAATTTTTGTACTTGAGCTTGGTTGATTTAGTGACCGCGGAGTTGTTTCGGGATCCACCAGGAGTACGCTTACTCTTTTTGGGTTCCGGTTGGTCAGGGCATTCGGGTTGGTAAAGGTTGAAATAGATTTGAAATGTTTGTTCTTTGTCAGGGACCTCATCCTCCTCATGATCCGTCCTCGGGGTGGCAGGAATTGGAGCGGTAGGCACAGCACCACAAGTATCGTTGAAGAGATCAAGAGGCAGGTCTGTAAGGTTACGCTATCAGTCTTTTAAGATCATACCAAAGCAAGTGATTAGAGAGAATGACTTACCGTCATCAGTTCCAATTGCAATGACCGAAGGGCCATCTGTCGGGGCATGTCTCTTCAAAGGTGAACTGTAGTTGTGGTTCGATGTCGAATCCGTGGCTGACGGGGTATGTTGTGATGTTTGGGAAGCGTTCAAGATGAACGGATTGATATGGGGGTTGATTGATGATCCAGAGGAAGTACCTTGTGAGCAAGTTGAAGGGGTAAAGGGAGTTGGACCCCGGTTGAAACACAGAGGAGTTTTCGAAGGAAATAATCGCGCAGTGGGGTCATGAACCGGCCTTCCCAGGGAAATGGAACGTGCAGGCAGAGGCGAATAGTTTGCCGGAGGGATAATGGGAGGGGGAAGGTTGAAAGGATCGCTACTGGCGAGAACCAACGGTGGAACCTTTGGTGTGACCGTGTGGCTAATTGGAGAATGGAGAGACGCATGAGATCCTTGCTACTAAAGTCCAGGGCAGTCAAAATTACTCACCTAGCTCTTTGACCCTGAAAGCCCGGGTATCTTTGACCATTGATGTGTTGTGTCACGGTGTCGATTCTACCATCGGCCGGCCTACATTTTTGACAACAAAGGAAACACACATATCAGCAAAAACGAATGATAAACATGAAAATTGATTTGAAAGTGGAAAATATGAAAACAGAGATCAACAAACAAAGGGACATGGGAAGGGTTCCTGTTTCCCATCCTGTTGTCTTTTGAAAATCGGATTAGAGTAGCGAGTTGAAAAACAGGAAATAAATTTGAGCGTTGGTTTGAGGAACTGGACAGGAAAGAGGGCTTCTTATGGTTGTTTGGCCTACACGATCAGAATGTGGTTGAGCAGAGTGATTGATGTTAGGGTGAGGAAAAAATGGAAAACTGACCGGTGTTTGGCGCCAGACGTAGAGCCGTGGGATTTGGTCTTGAGGTGAAAGGCCATTTTCTCGTTCAAAAGTGATTCAAATCTGAACTCTGCTGACAATCAATCAGTCGTCCTATCGATGGATCTATTGAATCTTGAGCAGGATCGAACGATATCTTGCGCAGTGGGTGAGTAGGGTGGCCATGGAAAACAGGTCGCTGGCCTAATGGGGTGATGTTGTGGTATGGGGCTGGTGTGACCAACCCAAACTGGGACTGGTTGGGGTTGTGGAAGCGGTCCAGAAGGGCCGCACACCCAGCCACCCTAGATGAGCAAGTAAGGCCTGTATTGACTGTATTGACGGAAAAAAAAAAAAAAAAAAAGCACCATGACACGAATTTTGAGAACAGCTGTATCTAACGGCAGTTTTTCGAAGAATGGTGTCGTCGTTGGATTTAATGAGAAGTCAAAAACTCACAAAATCCACTTCGAGATTGTTCAACTTTGTTGCAATCTCGTGACAAATGACAAGTAAGTTTACGCAGCTCCTCTCTCTGTATAATCCTTTACACCCTGCTGTGACATACCGAAAGCCGGTTGACGAATATTGACATCCACCCCTCTTTACCGGTTTTCCACTTTCTCCCACTTTCAATTTCCGGTTTCCCTTCTCTCGATTCATTAACCGTCTCATCTGAACTCTTCCACTCGTCCCATCTATTCTTCGATTCAACTTTCAATCAGTGATACCAATCACTCACCATCAACAGGTCTGACGGTTCAAGTGTCATCCACCAGGTCCATCAACTGTGAGTTTTTTCGGTGATTCTTTTGGGTTATTTGTTTCTCCTCGCTCCCATGACTGACTGAGACATCCATGTGTACAGATGCCCATAAACTCTTATGCCCCTGACATCAAGATGGTGGTCATTTGGATGGTGATGCGTGGAATGCGGTTCCACGACATAGTCACAACTCTTGGGGTCGACGTATCTCTCACTTCCGTCCGGCGGTGGTTTGATTTATACCAGACCACACGCGCGGTCATCACAAACCCTGACGATCACATGATACCCGGACCACGCCCCATTTTAGGACAGGTTCAACGCGATTTTATTCTGGAAGCTCTTCATCACGACCCTACGTTGTTTCTAGACGAGCTTCAACAAAAAATCACGGAGAGGTTTGGAATGGTTGTCTCCCTGAAGACCCTCTCAAATGAAGTCCGATTGCGAATTGGATGGACGAGGAAAAAAGCTTGAACCGTCCATCCAAATCAATCGGAAGAGGCACGAGGGGCGTATATAGGGGAGGTCTTTGGAATTGACCCGTATTGCCTGGTGTTCATCGGTGAGCCATATATTTCTCATGTTTCCGTGACACACACAAACTGACTTCTTGTCCACAGATGAAACAGCGGTGAACAAGAGGCATCTCTATCGGGAATTTGCTTGCGCGCCTCGTGGGGAACGAACCGTGCGACTCGAGAGACCAACTCGGTCGCAGAGATGGTCGGTCTTACCTGCGATCTCTTTAGGTGGACTGGTAGCCTTAGCTATCCAGCCCGGTGGTTACTCAAGGATTGACTTCGAGGGTTACTTGGAAAATCAATTAGTAAGCTCCTTTTCTTTGATCCATCTTCATCATTAGTTGATGAATGACACCTTCCTTTGGTAGTTGCCTGCCATGAACCCGTGGCCTGCTCGCAATTCAGTCCTCGTGATGGATAATGCACCTATCCATCACGGAGGGAACATTGAAGCGCTTTGTGAAGCGCGTGGAATCCGGCTACTTTACCTTCCGGCGTATTCACCCAATTTCAACCCCATCGAGTTGGGCTTTTCACCACTTAAGTCTTGCTTGAAAAGAAGCCGAGCTCTTCATCGTGCCATTAATGTCCTTGGGGAGGAAGCTTCTATATTGGTCACTGGTAGAAATTATGTACTGACTCTCTTGGCCTAAAGTTATTCATGAGTTGTCGATACCTATGATTCAATTACGCAAGATTGATTATTGTTTTATTTGTATCCAAATAAATACAAGCAAAAAATTGTATGTTATGCGCGGCGAGCTCCTATGTTCCATATTTTTCAAGAACTATTGTGTATTCAGAATTTAGTCCTGGTTTCAAATCGAGGTCCTCAACCTAGCAATTCAATGTCGAGTGACCTTTTGATGATTTTAATTGAACAGATAATGTCAACTTTCTTGGTTCCCATCTGAGATCACTCTGGCTGTGATCTATTAGCGAGGTCCTATGATTTTTTAGGGATTGATCTTGCTTACCAAATGAGTTAAAACATTCTCTCTATAGAATAGTCTAAAGCCCCGCGACTATCAGCACCTCTTTGGTCATTTATGGCCAAGTCCTTAAATACTTGCTCAACTTGCGCAAAAGGGACTGTAAGGCAAGGGAAGATTCATAGCACTCATAGGAAATATTGTGGGTTGATTATTTGATCAAAGTCGCACCTCACACGGTGTTTCATATAAAATTTCAACTTGAAATTTTTTTTAAGTCAAAGGGGGCATAAATAGAAGGCTCTGTGGGTAATATACGAGCGGACCTCAAGTCGACAAAGTGAGACCAAAACCAAACTGTGTATATATTTTAAAACGGGTGGACTTAGCCACGGTTAGACACTGTGAACAACAAAGTGGGAAAACCACGACTGGAATAAAAATATTCTAATAGGTGAAATACACAAAAATTGAAATTTTTGTGACAAGTCAAACCCATCGATAATCACTGGGCTAACTAATATTCTGATAGGTGAGATAAACAAGAAGGTGCTTTTTTGAGACAAGTCAAAACAATGGATAATACAGATTTTTTATCCAAACATTCATGGAAACAGCATTCAAGACTGTATCCTCTTTGGTTTGATTAGTCATGTCCTACAGAATAAGAACACGAAGTGACTGATCAGTCACTCATTCGTAAGTCAAAAGCGAATGCAGCCCTTACCATTTTCAAAACGTGCTTGAGCTGCCGTCATCAGGCGGTGGGCAATCTGACGGTCGCTTCCCTTGGAGGTTAGGGTGGCCTCGGTGAGTTGGAGACTAGGAATCAAGTCGGTCCACAACAAGATTCCTGCCTCTCTAATGAGCTTTCGAGTTTGCTCATCTTGGAAGTCGATGTTACAGTCCGCGAGGAACAACTCCATTTGAACGGAGCGAGCGGAGCTGGGATTTTCGACATCAATCTCGTCAGCGCCACTCGAAAAGTCACTTTCCCAGCGACTTTCAGAGTCGCTGGAAACATAAATCGGATTATTAAACGAGTTGGTGATCTCTGGAATAGAGACCAAAAAAGGAAGTCAGTAAATCTACATATATCAATGTGGTTATGTTTCTCACCTTGGTCTTCCAACTTGATCTTCTTCAAATCAGGCTTAACATCAATGACTTCGTTTGATGAGGACACATCACGTTTTTCACCCAATTTGGATAAGTCTGGCTTCACATCACCCCCCACGCTTGAATTGGACAAGCTGTGTTTTTGGGTCAACGTGCGTTTGATCGAACTCGAACCACTAGTTTGGGGTGGGTGGACTGAGTTGGAGGGCGCGTTGATGGCCTCCAATCGACGCGGATGGCCCTGTAATCGCAATTGAACACGATCTTCCACCCCCATGTCGGGGTGGATCCACTCGCTTTTTTTGATTTCGTAGCGGAACTCAGCGGTGTTAGGTGGTATCCAGGTCGTCGCAATTTTTGCCGCCTAAAGAGACGTAGGTGATTGGGTGAGCAAGGCTACATCTCTCACGGCGTTGGAGAGAAGGGCTTACCACTCCTTTAGCCCAGATCCACGCAGCTGGGTAGGTCAATCGATATCGACAGTTCGGATCCCAAGGAGTCGCCAACACAGTTCCAGGCCCTCCCGCGTAAGTTCCAATTGCATGTTGGCTAAAAATTTGGTTGGCGAGAGTTTTTAACTCTCTCTTGTTTTTGGATTCCTGCAAGGCTCAAAAGAAGTCAATACTAAAGCATGAACGTGAACAATAAGACGCACCTCGGATTCATGTTCCTCCGCGCCATCTCGACTAGCGGCGGCAATAAGTTTCTTAGTCGCTGATTCCTGTGAGATCATACATGTTAGAACAGTCTAAAATAAGAACAAGCCAGGGTGGGAAAGAGGATAGAGACCAAACACAACTCACCTTATTGACCACTTTAGCTTTCACTTGCACGTTATCGTTTTCAATCAAAAGTAATCCTTTTTTCTTGACCAATTTGTCTAAAGCATCGACAAAGTTTTGCCATTGAATAGCACTATCAAGGACAAATTTGAAGCGTCCCACAGTGGTCTTCCACTTCAGGTCTGGCGCAAAATCACTAATGAGGATGATGTTCTTCATGCCACCCTCAAACTCTTCACACGCTCCAGCCACGAGCGCCTTGAAATCTTTTAAACTCTTGCCAAACAGACAACTCTTGATTTCTAAATAGCCGGTATTGATTGCTTTCGAATCAATCAAATTGAGTTTGTCAGCCTTCGCAGTTTTCTTACCAGCGCCAACTTTTGGTGTGCTTGTAGTCGGAGCGTTGATTTCGACCTCCTTGTCCGTGTAGATTTTGAAACGGACCTCGACGGTCATCTGATTGTTCTTATCAAAAGCATCTCGAGCTGGAGTTCCGACCCTCAATAAAGGGTCTTGCCTGGCACAAGTGGCTGGCTGATTGTCTCCCACCCGAGTCTCAGGCAAGTCAAAGACTGACGAACAAAATCAAATCAGTGGTTTAAAAACTCGGTACATGGGGGAACCTATTGGCACTCACGTGGGTTGATGTGACCAATCACATCAGTTGCAGCCGGCACGTTTGACGAAGGAACAGACATATTGAAATCTATCAAAAAGATCCATTAACATCGCCTTAATAAAAAGAGAAAAATATTAACAAAGAGGAGAAGATGGACAAACAAGTCGAATTAGGGTCTTGTATTTGGTAAAATGAAGCACAAAGTGAGGATAGTGATACGAGTGATGGTATGTTATTTGTGAAGATCAAATTGGTCAATAATATGGGAAATGTGAAGATGGAATCGTTTGCGATCAGGGGAAAAGGCGATGGTGGGCTTATAAAGTAGGGCGGTGATTGATTTGAATCTCGACCGGGAGGGAAAGACATCCCTGGAGATGATGCCATCGCAATCAGAGATTGGATTCCGGTAAATGACTTGACGAAAGAATTGCCGGAATGGGGGAAAGTTATGGAGAGAGGAAATGGGAAAGCAAATGTCTGATCTTAAAGAAGTACAATACACTTCACTCTGAAAGTCGAAAAATTTCGAGTTTTTGACTTTCAGAGTAAAATCCAACGACGACACCACTCTTCAAAAAAGTGCCGTTAGATATCACAACAGCTGTAATCTAGTTTACCACTTGATAATCAAGAAATCATTCTAAATTGACCAATCATTAAAACTTGCTATATAAACCACACCTTCTTGACTGATTATCTTCACATCAGACTATGAGTTGTTGTTGAATTGACTGAAGTCTTCTTACACTTTACAAACTTGATCAGATATATATTATTTAAGAAACCTTTATAAACCTAAGAACACAGTCAAAAATTCTTATCAAAAGTAATCTCTGTCAATCTTTAAACATGTTTTTTTCTTATTTTTTTTGGTTTAATCTTAATGTAACAACTTTTATTAAAAAATCAACACGTTTCTATAAACTGTCAAAGAAGTGATCTTATTTCAATTTCTTTAGATCAAGAACTACATGAATGGAAAAAAATCTAACCTTTTTTTGAATGTACTATCAAAGCTTGAAAAAAGTAAAAAAAGAAGAGATCAAATTGAATAATTTGAAAGATGAATAGAGAAGAAAAACCAAGGATTTGATTACAAGATCTCAAGAAATCAATCACTCCTTTTTCTTTGGATTTTAATAAAATCTCCAAGCTTTATCTATACTATATCTTTTCGGCACTGATGATGATGTATTAATCTTGAAGAGTAGTATATGTTTGATTATAATATAACAAAGGTTTTGATTCCTGAAGAGTTTCAACCTCAATGAGTTTGAAGACTTTAGCCAACAAACTTGATCACTTTAGCCAAAATCAACACTGATTTCACTTCTTTTTCCCTACTTGAATCTTCCATCAATTCAATTGTTTGCCAAATCAACCAAACCAATCTTCCCAAGCCGATCTGATCAATCAATGAAAGGAATCTGGCCTAGAGATACTTTGACATGGTGGGAGTAGAAAACTGTCACAATAGAAGGAAGAAGACATCATAAGACCTTACATATGACCTTATATTGACGGTTAACATTTAAACAAAACACTAGCCCATTCAGCGGCGGGCGCCGCACCAATCATGTTTAATTAAATTAGCAATTTGACATCATCTTCTTGTGAGGATTTATTTCATCCATTTCCCACCCTGGAACCATTTCATGCAAGCCTCCAAAAATCACCAGGTGTGCACACATCACACATTTAACTTGTCATGATGTACTAAACACCCCCATACATAATCATAGCTCATAACTAAGTTTAAGAACTTTGACCAGCAAAGCAAAAGACACTTAAAACAGATTACTGTATACCTCAGCACCTTTATACTCAACACTATTTACAACTGTTTCACTACCTCCATTATTATTCTCCTCAAAATATCTTCTTCAACTGAATTTCCCATAATTAACTTTTACCTGATCCTATTGCTCCAAACAATGTAGTTTAGTTGACTTTATAGTTTGGTGCACTTTATTCTTCTTTTCACATAATTGGAAATGGTTAAATTCATTGAACATCAGTTTTTCATAGGTGAGAGGGAGGTTGCTGGCTCTTGAAGCTCAGAATCAAATCAAGTAAAACATTTGAGCTGATAGAATCCTGAAGATGTGAATAGATTGCAGGTTGATTCACCAGAGAGGCAGAACGATTTAGGTAAAGTAATGAAAACACTGCTGATTTGATGTGAAGGTTGTTCAGATTGTCAGGCCGGTCCCATATATTTACGAGATGTATTGATTAGATGAGTGGTTGTGTTCTGAGCCACTTCAGGTGGTATCAATACCTTTGGTAAAAACCAATCCTCATGGCAATTTGTGGAACCTTTCTTTGACTGGCAGCAATGATAGTCTATTTTGATGGACACAAGGTCAGTCCAAGCTCCTGATGTATGTGTTTGAGGAAGGAGATGATTCAATTTGCCTCTTATCCACACATACCACTCTGATATCACATCTCAATTTACTTGAAGTTGCATTTACCAGATTGAAGTGTGTGATAGTGGTGGTGGTGATCGTGTAGCGAGTTGATAAAGAAAATGTTGAAGAAACTTACAAAACAATGAACCTCAAATCTTGAATTCAACTCGGGTCTCAACTTCTCATCTTAACTCATTCCGAACTTCAGTGAGCTTTAGAGATGAGATGGACAATGAGATCTCTTGAGAAAGTGGAATGCTATTAGATGGCATGATCAAGACTGGTGGGTGATGATGGGAGTGACAAAAGTCTTGAGCCGGAGGGTGAATCAACAGCCGGATCAATATCCTTATAGAAAATCCGGATGTCTTCTACCAACTTGAGAGAAAGTGTGCCAGATTGATGAGGATCAATGTGATAAGATTGTAAGGATGGATGAGTAGGTGAATGGAGTTGAATTTGTAGATAGAAATGCTTACCTGATTAGAATTGGTTTGATGAGAGCCTGGAGGAGTGACTTGTGAGTAACAAATTTGGGATGAGGGTAAGGCAGGTGAGGCGTGTGGAAACCAGATTAAATGTGTTGAGCGTGTAAACCTGCAAATTGGTAGTAGGGATTGGGAGTTTAATCAGGTTTTGCCGGCGAACACGGTTTACCTTTAACTTGAACTAGAGCTTTGGGGGCGGCTTGCCGCCCTCCTGGGAATAGCATCATGCTGCTCCCTTGCACATCCTCATTGTCATCATCATGACCAAAAGTCTATCACACCTAATGTTGCACCCCAAAGAGCCATGGCCCCCCGTGTCTAGTCCCCCCCGCTCATGCCACTGCCTCCCTGGTCCATTTTTCCACATTGCAGTGCGGCAAGAGTCTCTGGTCAACACATGCCATCCCACATCACCACCAATGGGGCTGAACGTTCATCATTTTTGCCCTCTCCAGACGTGTTTCCGTATTAAATTGAAGCAGATAGTTGAGAACCACACTGAATTCAATCTCCCAGGTATTTGTGTCTATTTGATGACCAATGACATTGCCCCACAGTGTGATAACATTACCCACATTCAGAGTGCCCATACTCAAGTTGGTTGTGATGTGTGAATCAATGAGATAGACGGTGTAAAGGTGTTGATGCTGTGACATTGAGATCGAAACAGTCAACTTAGTGGTGTGTGAGGGGGAGTGCGAGTTCCTTGGCTGATAAGTGCAGCTCTGATGCAACACCTTTATATATTTGACAGCAAGCCCATTGGGAGTTCTGTTGCAGCATGACCATTCTCCAATCAAGCCAACGCCCTGTGTAGTGACTCTATTAAGGAGACAGTTAAGACAAACTTTGGCATGGTTAAGAGAAATGGTGTTATTTGGCTCTTCAAAGATTGTGGAAATGCTGTTGATACTGCCAGCGGCAAATTCACCATTAATTTGGTAAGCATGATTGTGTTTCAGTGAGCTTCCATTCCATTTGGTAACAATTGGGACCTTGACACCTTGGAGTGTGTTGACATTGATCTTTATATCAGTTTCAAACATCTGATACATAGGGCTAGCATTATAGCTGGCCAATTCAGTCTGAAATAAACACAGCTTTAGCGTAATCACATATTGACGGAGCTAATGACATACCTTGGCTTTTGTCAAGTAGATGCTGCTGAAATGTAATGGAAAGTGCAACAAAGAGTAATTTTTCATTGAGGGAGTCAAACTTATTGAGAAAGTGGTAAATGGGCAGGATTATGTGACCAAAGGTTCAGAAATCAGTTTGCAGTGGTCTTAGCAGAGATGGATAAGAATGATTTAGGTGATCAGAAATGAAGATTAAGTATGCTAAACTGTGATTTTATAAATTGATGTTGCTAGATGGCATTTAACAATTGTCAACCAGGCGTCTCAGGTTGTTTGCTCTTTTGACTAACACATTTGCAATCTTGAGGTTGGTGGCACGTATCAATGCTAGTTCATTTTGATGGCAATAGGCTGTCACTGAGTATGACATCAGTGTTGTGGGCTCTGTCATAGAGTAATGAGCAAATGGCTGGGCCCCGTGAGTGATGTAGGAAGCAGCAGAGTAAGAATCACTGCCACGGTAGCTGGCTTCAGCGGCTAAAAGATAGTGGCAGTGTTCAACAATTCATCAAAAATAGCGGCATAAATTGACACAAAAGTGAGCATAGTGACACCAAGGTGTTTTCAAAATGTATAACATCTGAGCCTGGCACGTGGTTTGAGCAATGATGCATAAGTGTTTCTTGACCAAATCCTTAAAAATTGTTTTATGGAGTTGAGGTTGTTGACCAAAAAGCACTTGGGGTTATGTCGGACAGTTTTAACTCCTTGTTGACAGCCAACTGTGGCATCTTGTGCTGGACGTTGTAGAACTTATAACCCAACAAGGGTTATACAGAGCTGGAAGAGGATAATCTACTAATAAAATGACTAGTAGAAGCTGTCTAAGGACTGCTCTTCTAAAACAACACAATCAGAAAGAGCTCTGCTGTATTGAGTACTGATAAGGCACCAGAGAAATATAACTTCACACGTAATTTTAACTTCAAAAGCACACTTTGTATTACTATCAACACTGCTATAGTGTTATTCCCAATTGATAACTGAAAAAAAATAAGCAATATCTGATTGATATTATTCCCAATAAGTCTTTATGACTATAAAACTAAAGTAAATTTCTCTTTATAACTGTAATAAAGGGCGTATTTAAGTGAACAGGTACTATTAAAATAAGTTTATGATGATAAACAAAATAATAATGGCGTAAATGATAAAGAAAAAAAGGGGAACAACAGTCCCAAAACCCTCTCAAAGTATATATAACAATGTACTAGAACTTTTACAATGGTCAACAGCCTCAAAACCAATCAAATCCGCCCAAAATTCCCTAAAAACCCTATGATGACGCAATGTAATGGTTTTGTTACTAATAAATGATGTAATTTTCACAGCTAAAAGTGATC